GATCATGACCCGAGCCGAAGGCAGATGCTCAACTGACTGAGCCACCCAGGTGCCCTAGTTTAGTTCTTTAACGTAAGCCAAATATCTAGTTAGGAGGAAAAGACAGTGTTATGCCATGGCATCTAGGGATATACAGATTTGCTCATTATTGTAAATAAAAGTAAATGTAAGTAAATGTCTACCACAGCACTTGGAGTATAGTGATCAATATGTGTTAGCTGCTAATATAATATTATGTTATTATATTACAACAAAAGAATTAAGCTTTCCAGAGACCACCCTCACCGCCGGGCAGGGAAGCTCTCTCATTACCACCCTCCATCTAAGTGACCTGGCAGATAAGTCCGTATCCATTAACAAACCGAATTGCTGACTAGATAAAGTGAGGTCTCTCCTTTAACTTACCTTTTCACTTTTAACTTACATTTTTGTTTCCTGATAATTTTTAGGTTGACTGCATTCTATAGGAATAATAAAAATATTCGCAGCTATGTTTTATTGAGCATCTATCTACGGTGTTAGAAATGTACGTACATTATTTCATTTGCTTCTTAACGATATTCCTGAGAGATGGCATCCATCATTTTACTGGATGAAGAAACTGGAATTCAAACAGGTTACATGGCTTAGTATCCAACTTAAGATCACATTGTGAGTGGCAGTGAACCCAGGTCTGTTTATTCTAAGACCCATGTTTTTTCCCTTGTACCAATTGTTATTCTTTCTTTGGTAACAAGGTATATGTCAAGTTTTGTTTGTGGTTCACTTTGGCCTATTGAAACAAAATGATGGACAAGAATTTTCTCATAGTCATGTTAATTTTAATAGAATTTAAATCAGTTATTGAAGATACAGTAGCATATGATTGTATGAAAGAAGGAATAAATCGGTAGTTACCACATAGGAAATGTGAGAAATAAAACAACAAAATGTAAATGAATAACTTACAGATAGGGCCTAGAAAACAAAACGACTATTAAATATTTACTAATTGCTTTTAATAGTGAACTTAATGCCTTACTGAACTGTTGCTTTGTTATTATATTCATCAAGTTGCAAGTTAAGGTATTTTATTCTAAAATTTAAAACTATTGTCCCATTGCAAAAATTGTGTTATAGAGATGTCTATAACAAATTATGAATATTTTACCATTTTCATAAAATCCGGTTTGTATTTCCATTTATAGCATATCTCAATTCAGAGTAGACACATTTCAAGGGTTCAATAGCCACGTGAAGCTAGTGGATATCATTTGGAAAGTGCAAGCCTGGATTACCTGTGGATTGGATTACGATTCTAAAAATAATCTGGTTAATGAAATCATAATACTTAGAATTTATTTAAAAAAATAAAACTTCTTGAGGGCGCTTGGGTGGCTCAGATGGTTAAGCATCTGCTTCAGCTCAGGTCATGATCCCGGGGTCCTGATATCAAGTCCCACGTTGGGCTCCCAGATCAGCGGGGATTCTGCTTCTCCTTTTCCCTCTCCCCCTGCTTATGCTCTGTCTCTGTCTCTCTCTCAAATGAATAAATAAAATCTTAAAAAACAAACAAACAAAAAACAATTTCTCACATGTATGACCTTGCTTAGATTAGTGTGATAAATTGATAGAAATATCTATCCTGGGGGTAAAATAGTATCAAAGCTACCAATTTCTCACTGTAATGGCGCTCCTCCCTGTATCCTAAGGATAAAAATATATTAACTCTCTCTGGCTTGTCATTCTTTTGCCTACTTCTATACTCTAAGACTTGATATATCAAGTTAACTGTATGATGAGTTTGCCCCTGCAGCAAGCTGTCTTAATACACTAAGGGCATAGCTGGGCTCATTTGAAAGTGAGGTTAGTAAGCCAGCCTGGCATGGAACTCTGGGCTTATGGAAATACTTGGCCTAAGGTAGATGCATTTACACAGCATTGTATCTCAAGCTACTGATTGCCAAATCCAGTTGAAAAGGCTTAGCTTTTACTGTAAAGAGGTGGCCAGTTTTCCTCAAACTGCAGCTACTGCAAGCTCTCTCGTTCCTGCCCCACCATCGAAAAGACACTGGAGTGGGGGGAAAGTGACTTGGCTTCCCAGAGGCTGCCCTTACTGCTGTGCAGTGGAAGCTGTCTTTTATCACCCTCCGTCTAAGTGACTGGCAGATTCGTCTCTCTCTCCAGTCTCCTGTAAACCACACTGATGCAACCGACACCTGACCTTCATGGCCAACAGGCTACTCAGGCACATTCCCTCCATCACTACCCCCAACTCCCATTCCCATCAAGTAAGTGAGTTGTATGTTTGCCAGGAGTTGTTGACTACTTTCCAAAAGTATATTTTCTGATTGTACTTTTAATAGATTAATTACATATGAAATGATGGAACATGATTTTGAAAACAAAGAATTAAAGGCTTTGGAAAGGGTTGATAAAGATGAGTCTTTTTTTTTTAAGACTATTTTTTTAAGTAATCTCTACACCTGACATGGGGCTCAAACTCACAATCCCAAGATCAAGAGTCACATCCCCCCACCAACCAAGCCAGCCAGACACCCTGATAAAGGTGAGTCTTAAAAAAAACAGAGTATGAGACAATTGTAAAAATAGAGGGAAAAATTTTAAATCCAGAATACGTCCTCACATCACTTTGCAAGTATTTTTAAGTTTTGTTCCCTACAGAAATCAATACTAGAGATCATACTCCCATGGGTGTAGTTTATGCAAGAAAAACTGCAGACCTGTCCTCAGACATATGCTTAAAGAAGGGCCTTGGCTTTCCTGCAGATTGGCAGGGAGTGTGCCTAATGGATGTTAACAGAATAGACATGATTTCCTGTCTTATCTAGCTTTTCTTCTCTCATAAATCGGTAAACTGCTTGTTCAGATCACATTGAAGAGGATGGTTTTCACTGCATTTTGATAATTTACATGCTCTAAATATGTTCATGTGGACAATAAATGCTTTTTCTTTTTTTAATTAATTTTATTTTATTATGTTATATTAGTCACCATACAGTACATCATTAGTTTTTGATGTAGTGTTCCATGATTCATTGTTTGTGCATAACACCCAGTTCTCCATGCAGTTCGTGCCCTCTTTAATACCCATCACCAGGCTAACCCATCCTCCCACCCACCTCCCCTCTAGAACCCTGTTTGTTTTTCAGAGTCCATAGTCTCTCATGGTTCGTCTCCCCCTCCGATTTCCCCCCCTTCATTTTTCCTTCCTACTATCTTCTTTTTTTTTTTTTTTAACATATATTACTTGTTTCAGAGGTACAGTTCTGTGATTCAGCAGTCTTACACAATTCACAGTGCTCACCGTAGTACATACCCTCCCCAATGTCCATCACCCAGCCACCCCATCCCTCCCACCCCCCACCACTCCAGCAACCCTCGGTTTGTTTCCTGAGATTAAGAATTCCTCATATCAGTGAGGTCATATGATACTTGTCTTTCTCTGATTGACTTATTTCACTTAGCATAATAACCTCTAGTTCCATCCACGTCATTGCAAATGGCAAGATTTCATTTTTTTGATGGCTTAGTAATATTCCATTGTATATATATACCACATCTTCTGTATCCATTCAACTGTCGATGGACATCTTGGCTCTTTCCACAGTTTGGCTATTGTGGACATTGCTGCTATAAACATTGGGTTTCACATACCCCTTCGGATCCCTACATTTCTATCTTTGGGGTAAATACCCAGTAGTGCAATTGCTGGGTCGTAGGGTAGCTCTATTTTCAACTTTTTGAGGAACCTCCATACTGTTTTCCAGAGTGGCTGCACCAGCTTGCATTCCCACCAACAGTGTAGGAGGGTTCCCCTTTCTCTGCATCCTCGCCAACATCTGTCGTTTCCTGACTTGTTAATTTTAGCCATTCTGACGGGTGTGAGGTGGTATCTCATTGAGGTTTTGATTTGTATTTCCCTGATGCCGAGTGATGTTGAGCACTTTTTCAGGTGTCTGTTGGCCAATATAAATGCTTTTCCTTGAACCATATTCTATTTCTCCTTTCTGGCACATTTCAGGGAGCAGGACTATTTTCTGGGCTTTCGTTTTTAATGTGGTTTGTGAAGAATGAACTCACTTTTATTTAAAATCAGTCAAGATGACACTGTAAGTGGTAAGAATATATAGTTTGAGAGGCAACAGTCCATCACAAAGTACAACGATGGCTTTAAGTGCGATAACTCGATTGCCAATAATGAAATTATTGAATCTGCTGTACGCAACACAATACTATGAAAAAGAGTTTGTCATTTTCATTCGTTTGTAATTATAGAAAAATAGAAGATGCTGCAGAAATATCCTTTGGCCCCCAGAGGGCGCAAGGCAGAAAGAAATCAGAGCTGAGAGCTGGATCCCTTCAGATGGGGGACTGGGTCCTTACCAAGGCTGCTAGAGTATAGGAAAAGAGGTCCACGTTCACCTCAGAGAACATTCAATATGGGATTCTAGTAGACACAAGGACTCTATATTTAGCTCTACCCCTGGTTTTTGAAGTGTAAAAATTGCAAGAATTGCAGGAACCTCTTTATCCCCTTCTGCCATAGATAGAAATGGAGTATGTCTGTGATATTAGAGAATTAGAGAATATTAGAGTGTGTGTGTGAGAGAGAGAGAGAGCACCCATGTGAAAGACAGACTGTGAGAGAGAGAGAAGGAGGGGACACACAGTGCTCCAGGCTTTCTTTTAAGAAACATAAGAATACTGTTCAAAGTACATGAAGTTGGCTAAATTATGCATCAGATTCATAGTTCTAAGTGTTCTGCCAAAGGCTAAAGCTGCAGATTATCCCTTCAGGACAGGAAACAAAACCCAAGCACAGCTTTTTCTTGTGCGCTCCCTAATATTTTAGTGACATTTTACTTATGACTTAGATGCTTAGAGGAGTGTTACTAACTGAGCAGGAATTTTTCCTCTTCAATATTTTATTGGAGTGTTTCAAGCAACACTAATAGCACAATATCCACTATGAAGAATTTCACACATCTGTTTAACTGCTGCACAAATACCATTCATTTATTGAAATTAACATTCTTAAGAACACATAATGGAAAAATGCTCCTCAGAAGAGGAAGGAGAATGTTGACCATCAATAGGACAAAGCTATCTTCAAAAGATAACAGATGTGGGGAATTGTTTCACAGTTGGGTGTTGAACAAGCACACGAGGACGGAGTTCGTCTATGTGCGTGTATCCCCAGGCGCGAGGTTTGGGATGAGGAGGCTCAGGAATGTCTCCAGCTGCTTCCTTGATCTGTATGCAATCAGTCCTCCCTTGTTGGCCCACCGATCCACGCCAGCCGCACCTTCGTTTTCCACGTGGTACACCAACTGTGGCCAGTCAAGTGCCGTTTCGGAACTTCTTTGCAGGCATTGTCTTAAATCCACCATTCCCCCACCCAGGGCCCTGAGTATGGCGTGAGCAGCACATGAGTCCCACTTGAACGTGGTATCCTCTGAGAAGATGTAAATGTCAACAAGGCCTTGGACAACACAGAGGCTCTTGTAACCAGCCCCAGCTGCCGGGAACATGCGCTCGCCACATACACGGGACAAAGCGGCCTTGACAGTGTCCTTTTCACTTGTACTAATGACAGCTGAAAACCTGTGGGAGCATTCCGCCTCAGAGTTGGTGTCTTCAGTCACTTGGCTCCGTGTGTCCCTGCTCTTTCTTTCAGAGTCGGGAAGCTGAAGTGAATGGATGTTGGTCCCCAAGTAAGAAAGGCCCCAGTAGCACTGTCCTTTCCACCTGCGGAAGAGAGCTCTTCAGTTCGGGGAGGTAGGCTATCACGTTTGTTTTTATTACTCCTGTTGTTTTCCAACTTAATGATATGAAAATATATAATGCAGTGAGTCTCGATGCCCTGAAGCCTAGAAATAGCAAGCAGCTCATTCGTTGTAAAAGTAACTGTTACGCTTGCAGGTGCCGGGTTGCTGCAGATTAGGAATGCTGGGTTTGTTTGTTTGTTTTTAAGATTTTATTTATTTATTTGAGAGACAGAGCAAGTGAGAGCAGGGGGAAGGGGCAGAGAGAGAGGGAGAAGCAGACTCCCCGCTGAGCGGGGAGCCCGGTGGAAGGGGGGTGGGGTTGATCCCAGGTGCCCAAGATCATGACCTTAGCCGAAGGCAGATGCTTAATCAACTGAGCCACGCAGGTGCCCCTGCTGTGGGTTTTAGATGTGATCTAGGACAAAGTGAAAATATCTCTGGGATTTCTGGCCTCCAGGAACACAGCAGAATTTCATTTGCCACTTTTGGCATTTAACACTAAATAGGGAAAAAAAAATGAACAGATAAACCATCTCTCTTTTCAACCTGCGAATCTTTGACCATCCTTAACCAGTTTTTCTTCATTTGGTGACCCCTTCTCATTCTCTTATTCACTAGCTCTGCTTTGGCCTTAACACCAAGAAAGATGGACTCCTTATTTGTGGCCACAACACCACCAAACACTCATTTCTCCATGTTTAAGTTATTCTATCGTGTTGGGTCGTTACTCGCTTTACAGAGGGGGAGAACGGGGCCTTAGAGAATATAACTGTGTGTTAGTCAGTGTTGGGATCTCCATGTAAACCAGGAAGCCTCACTCCACAATCGGCACCACTGACTACTTTGCCAGTCGTTCCTAGGCCACGATTATGTCTGCATCCAGTCCCAGTTCTTTTTAATTTCTTAATAACCCTTTAAAGATAACAGACACATTTTCAGTATGAAAGAAGGCAGGGTAGAGGGAAAAAAAATGTCAAAATTGCAGAGGTGTCGTTTATGTTCATTAAAGAACAAATCTTCGTTGTGGGAAGCAACTCAAAGCTCAATAAAAATGTGTAGTCATACAGACATGGAAAAATAGGGCCTGTTTCAAAACTGAAGCCACAGGAGAAAAGCTGCTGGCTTCCACCTGGACTCTGCCATGCCCTGGAGTCAACCCCAAGTACAGGCCTTGGGGCAGAGGCAGTGGGCAGCCTGGCCACCTCCATGCTCTGTGCCGGAGGCCATGCAAGGTGGGGGGGGAGGCAGTATTTATAGGGAGAGTACCCCATAGTCAGGGTCCAATCCTGGCCATATCTACTCATCTTTTCACTGCACACTTACTCATACTTGTTTTGAAAAATTTCTAAAATTGCATGAATGTTTGACTTGGCTGTATTGATAGCACCTACCTTGTTTCAAATGGAATAGAAGACAGTGTTACCACTGTTCTCTCAGTCTGGTTTTGAATGGATTCTAGAAAACAGGGAACGGGACTGAGATCTTCCAAATGCAAAACTAGGATTTCTCCAAGATAGACTTTCTTTTAAAAGTTTCTGTCTGCATGCACCTAGCCCCCACTAAAATTATATTTAACCCGAGACTGAAAAGAGAAAGAATTTTAATTCAAACCTGCAGACTTTAGTAGGAGCACCTCAGTGTATCAAGTCACGGTAATGTCATGTCAAGTGATCATCTCGACAATAAGCAAAGCTGAGGTGGTAAATTCCCCAAACCACAATATACCGGAAATGTTCCCCTTTTACCTGAGGGTGTTTAGGTCTTGTGATACAAAAGGTTGGTTGATGACTCCCATTAGGGGCACCCCTGTGTGTAGGTCATAGACACCAATTAAAATGGTGACACACTGAAGTCCGCTAGGGAAGATTCCTTGGTTGGATTTAATGTCAGCAGAACCTCTTATATACTGATAAGTGGAATCTGAAAAAAATGAAGCAAATTTGTTTGGATTCAGGCAGTGATTATTTAAAAGATAATGACGGAAACATCTATAAACTCTGCCCTGTGTCATTTCTGTCTTCTACTAATCTGGTAACTGCTATGGTCTGAATGTGTCCTCCCCAAATTCTAACTCCCCAAAGGGGATGCTATTAGTCAGTGAGGCCTTTGGGAGGCACCTAAGTCATGAGGGTGGAACCCTCATTAATGTGATTAGGGCTTTATGAAAGAGGCTCCAGAGACATCCTTCGTCCCTTGTCCTATGCAAGGACACGGCGAGAAGTGGCCAGCTATGAAGCGGGAAGAGGGCCCTCATCTTACTCTGCCAGCACCTTGATCTTGGACTTCCCAGCCTTCAGAACTTGGAGAAAGAAGTTTCTGTTGTTTCTAAGCTACCTAGTCCACGGTATTTGGCTACAGCAGCCTGAACAGACTAAGAGAGCAATCAATCAAGTTTTACCTTTGGGTGTCACTGGTATGGAATTGTTATTTGACCTCTTGGACTTTATTTTTAAGATGCCTGTGTTCCATTTTCCCCAACTCTATGGGAACTCTTGAGGGGGGACGACGCGTCTATAGTTCCTGTGGCATCTAGCATAGCACCTTGCATACGATAAGCACTCAGATATTCATTGCATATCAAAAGCATTTAAAAGCTAATGACTCAGGATAACTGGTGGGATTCTTTAGAGCTCTTATTAATCAGAGGGCAAGTATAATATGGAGGGATGGATGGGAAAATCTCCTTCCAGAAGGCTCTCGGGGTTGGAATTAACTTTTTTTTTTTGGTCCCTCAAAGTAGAAGAAGGAAAGAGACCATGATGGTGGCACAAAAGGAAGAAATTGATGGTGCTCCTGTGAGAAAAAGCCAAGGAACCAGGTTTCCCCTTAAGAGACCTATATGCCAGTAGCCGACTGCCAACATCTGGTGAGTTAACAGCCGGCTAAGGGTGTGTGGGGCAGAAAAGTCCCCATAGCTGGCTAACAGAGTCAACTCAGGATAGAACCAAGAAATAGGAGATCCCTGGCCCTCAGAAACCTCAGCTAATGCTAATTTACCGTGAAGTGATAAAAGATTTTGGGAAAGATTCTTAGTCTGCGTATGTAATCCATTGAATGAATGTTCTGTAATTCCCTAATGATTAAAGGCATTTTGATAATGTTGTATGCTTGCAAATGGGAGGATGGGGGCATTTGCCTGGGAATGGTCCCAGTTGCGTTGGGTAGAATATGCCAGGCAAGTAGGAATGAAAAAAAGGAGGGACTCCGCAAATCAACAGCCAGGGCATTGTATTAATAGCGTCATTGAAATAGACCTACACTTTTTAAAATTCAGAGCTTCGATTAGGGTTCTACCACAACCATGACCAAAAAAATAATAGATAAGATTTACACAAGGCTCACAAACTGACTGCGAGTGAGTCCCATTCAGCTGTGTTTTGCTTGATCTATACAGTGGTTTTGACTATTTGCTTAATTGAATTAGTAGTCAGTGGTTAAAAATTGGGAGGTATCACTTAAAAACCTGGATTTTCGTTTCTCTTTAAAACCTTGATGATCTGGACTGTACTCCTATCTGGCAACAATCTGCTGGGGCTGAGTGTTCTTTAAATGGCAGGTGTGTTCAATTAGTTATAGCTACTATCACTTCATTATTTTGTTTTCTTTACCAGTCTGGCCCCCGAACTCTTTCAAAAATGAGTTAATTCAAGCTTTATATATATGCATGTGTGTATACACACACACACACAAATGCACACAAATACATATCTGTTCTAGAAATGTTATAAATATACATGTATCATGTATATACATGTAAATATACACATCATCACACATGTACCTCAACCTTCATTATTCATTTTACAACCTTAAAATGTTAAAGATTTCTAGGAGAATTCAGCTACATGCTCAATTTTTATTCTTCCAAACCTCCCCCGACCAAGGGATTACTAATAAGAACCAATAAAAGCAAACACTCTCCTCTACTTACCTATGGGATCCACCCAAATTCCCAAAATGTCCTGTGGAATGTTGATCTCTACCGAATCCAGAGCTGGGTCAGTAAAGGTGACATCCTGATGAACAACCTTGGCTAATGCTTTGGACGCCAACTTGTTACCACTCAAGACTTTGCTAAGGAGCTCTACTGTTTCTTCCTCGGTCGGACACAGTCTCAGGATAATCTTCTCCCCTAGGATAAAAACAAACTAAAAGCCATTGCATTTCAAGAGTTTCCGGGAAGAAAAACAACAGAAGGGCAGGGAGGAGCCCAAGCCGTGCACTTAAGATTAGGTGAGGGCAACATGTTCATACGTGTGGTTCCTAACCTGGCTGACTGCCAGAATCACCCAGGGGGCTTCACAAGGTCCCAGCTGCCCAGGAGTCACGCATATACCTAATATGAAGTGAGGGATGGATTCCCAGCATCAAAGAAATGTCTTCCCAGAAAAATGTCCACGTGGGCAAATGCACACAATTCTGTATCCAGTCTAAGGGGGCTCCTGAACCAGTTAAGAACCCCTGAACCCTGAGTCTTGGATGATATTTATGTTTTTTTGCCTTTTGCCTCTTAATATACATAGGTCAACCTGTTAATGTTTGAATATGTTACTGAAAAGAAGAGAGGTCTTACCAGCACACAGAAGTGCTTCTATCTCTCTCTAGGATACTGCTTTTAACTAAAAAGTGTTTCTGCTCAGTAAAGTACTATAAGATGAGTATAACCAATCTTCACATGTGGTAAACTGTGTGATGTGACGTGACATGACATACACAGAAACAGCTCTCTTCTCTGAACCCCACTGGAAAGTAAAGCTCCTTCTCCCAGTGACACCACAAGTTACCAAATGCGGGCGCTCCAACCATCACTTTAAACATGCTTCTTAGACTAACCTTGTTTCCAGCTCCCAACAAAAGTGAGGAAAGAGGCTGGCAAAAATAGGCAAATTAATAGCAACAAAAAGTGACAGCAGTGGTGAATATAAACTTATAACAAGCAGAAGACATGGCACTTTGGGGGTTTTGAGGTACAGAGACAAGTACTCCTAGCTACCCTGGCCAGGATCTGCATCATCACCTGAGAGCTTGTTAGACATTCAGAACTTCAGGCTCCATCCCACAGCTGAGGGCTAAAGATCCCCAGGGGATTCCGTGATCATTAAAGTTTGGGAAGCACAGTATGAATCTATTACAATGATAGATTGTAAGAGATCACAATCTGATTGAATCAGCAAGAAACATTCTATTGCATTTAGTGAAGTTAAATTCAAATTAAACTGTTGAAGTTAGGGAATAATAAGGCTAATCACTGCCACTTAACCAAGCACCGACACTGGGCTCAGGAAAAGTCATGGGATCAATCCAAGGAGCAACTCATCTCACATCATTCCTGTGCTTAAAATTCTCCAGTGAATTCCCATCATACTTGGAGGAAAATGCAAACTCTTTCTGCAAACTTCATGTTCTGCTCCTGCCTGCACTCACCTCCTCCATCCCATGCTCCACACTTCTCTGCCCGCCTGCCGCCCCCCCCCCCCCCCCGCATTCTAACTTCCTTCTCCCCTTCGGTTCTCAGAAACATGCTCGTGGAATGTCTTTTTGCCCCTATAATTCTAGATAAATGAAATATTAAAATAACTGTTTTTGAGGTAGCCAGACACAGGATTTCAAGCATAGAATTTATTAGTTAGTCACAGGTGTTTTTTATCCTTAAGTTTAAATGAGATTTCCCTGAGTGTCACAGAACTAATTGCATTGTAATACATAGCCCATGAATGAGGCAGTCTTCCAGCATTAATCCAGAAATTAGTTTTTTCTCCTTTGCAGCTGTGCCTCTGGATGTTTCACTACTGGTCACATGATCAATGATAAAGTTCACTATTTTAATCTTCTATCATTAAACAAACAAAACACCCAGACAAACTTAAAATAATTTGTTTTGCTGTAAAGGATCAGAAATTTTGATATTTTTCTCTACCATCCAGGAAATGTGGAGGTACATCAATGGAGAATCTGGCCCACAGGAAACTAATTAAAGAAGACTTAAAATGTGGTACTAAAAGGAACCTTTTATTTAATTCAGCTCCTTTTACAGAGGTTCTGAGACCGGAGAACTGATGAGGTGAACAAGTTTTCGTTGCTCAAGAACACACAGTATTTCAGAGATGGGGCCTCTCTCTTCTCAGGCAAGGTGTATGGACTCCCCAGGAGGTCTATGAATGGGCTTAAAACTTGGACCTAAAATTGTCCATACAACTGTGTAACGTGCATCTGTAACTTCTGTTAGATTCTCAAAGGACCACGCAACTTCCCCAAAGATTGTCCTATATTATCTTAAGTGCTACAGACTTATAGCTAAAAGAATACATATGGACTTGCTAAATAATTCCAAGTAACACCTCTAACTTAAATGGCATGATATTCTGAGATACTGAATGAAGCTTAACGTTCAAATATGTTATTTACATGAAAGGCTTCCAAACATTTATTTCATGACGTTGTGGAACGTTAGAATACCATATGATGATTAAGTTACAAAAATACATTCAAATTCTTATACTTACCCAAATCATTAGTAAACTCATTCGATTCTTCTCCCAAAATTTTTTTTCCCAAGCCTGGAAACTGAATGATTCAGAGTATGACAAAGAAACCAAAAAACAAAGCAAAGACAAAAACCCCACAAAACCCAAATTCCACATAACATGTTCAATTCTGATATTTTCATTTTGTGCTTCAAATTAAATAGCACAACTAGATCTGAAATTCAGAAATTTACAATTCCAGAAATCAATCCCAGTATAAAAAGTGAAGTCACTTGGTTCAGTACTTAGTTTTCTAACATTCTCCTGCTCCTCTGCCCCTCTAGGAAGTTCAAATCGTGGTAGAAGTCTGCTTTCCTTATGTTCTGTTGAGTTTGCAGTACTTTAGAAACTTTATCCTTCCGTCTAAGGGCCATAGAACTAGAATATTTACCAAGGAAATATTTTAACTGTTGCTCTTCAATAGCACCCTGGTAGCTTATGTGAGTTAACAGCGTTGCCCAAGAACCTAACATGACTACTAATTAAGTTTAGAGGATAACATTAGAGTTTGCTCTCATTTTCAGGTGTTTCCTGCACCTGTTGAAGGTATCATTGGACTTACGGCAAGGAAGGCAATATAGCAAAAAAAAAAAAAGGAAATATTTTATTGACTGATAATTAGCACATCAATGTAGAATGAAAAAAAAAGTGGAGCTAAGTAAGAATCTTCTCTCATCTCTGTATGACCAGGAAGCTTTCAGATGCATTTTGCTTCTGATCCTCTCTGTAGTAAAGATAATTTTTCTCAAGCTATGTGCTGAATTATGATACGCGTGATGTTCTCAGGGAACAAAAGCAAGGAAATGCTTCAGCTATTTGAACTCAGTCATTTGCAGATGGCCAATAATTTTAATACTGCCCACAACCACTTGTTTTTTCCTCTTCCGAAGGACAGTGCAAGTCAACAGGGGCTGCCAACGAGCCCATTCACCAAGGGCTGCAGCTCCATGTCCCAAGCCTGCTTCAAGACTGGCTTCTGAGCTTACAGGATGTAAGCGTCATGAAACAAAGACATCTTATCTAGCCAAAAGTCAGTATCGTTTCTTTGTTCATAAGTCCTATCATATACTTTACGAATGAACAAGTGCTGAACTTGTTACAATGCTTTGGGGCAAATATTAGCTAATACAAGTTAATATCGACACATTTCTAATTCAATTGCTCAACCATCCCTCGTACTCAACTACCTTGATAAATAAAATAAATTTACTTCGTTTATTGGAGCCGGATACTACAGGGCATGAAAAAGCAGAGTTTGTAGAGATTTCAAGGGGCCATTTATGCTCTTTCTGCCTGTGGTCAAGAATTCACTTAAATGATTCCATTTGATTCCCAATATTTTGAGAATTTCAATAGAAACTATTTCAATATTTTGTAGTGCTTTCGGTCATAAAATTCTATCCTCCCAAATCTTAAAAAAAATGTGTTATTATTAGATTATAATATAAAGGCAACATAGTATTGCAGAGAACACAAACTCTGGAGCCAGTATGTGTTCAAAAGCCAGCCCTGCCATTCACTTGCTGTGCAACCTTGGGCAAGTTACTTAACCTCTCTGTGCTTCCCTTTTCTCATCCATTACATTGGAATAATAATTCTTACCTCATAAAATTATTATAATTGTTAAATAATTTAATATATTTAAAGCCCTTAGAAGTGCCTGACACACAGTAAGGACTCATAAATATCTGCTGGTCTTACATTATGTTATTACTACTTATGAGTAGTTTCTTTTCCCAGCCAGTTTAAGATACCTAGAATCACAATCATTGTTAGTTATAAACAATGATTTTCTATTAGAATAAAAGGGGATTTTCAGTCTTCAGGACTGTACCAGCCCAAAACTGAGGCAACCATTAGATAAAAGATTACATCAAAAGGTGGGACAGGATATGTCAAGTTAAAAAAAGAAATCAATAAAACAGTATGTTCTCATTTCTACTGAGATAAATTCTATGTGCCATGCACACAAGTACACAATGTCCTTACAATATTTAGTAAAACATAGCTGTGGTTTTCTCTAGTGGTAGGATTAAGGATTCTTATTTTTGCTTATTTTCTGGAGAATGGGTATTATTTATTAAAAAGAAACTCATTAATAAATAAAAGCTCTATATCCAAATGTTTCTCTTCAGCTGTCAGAACTGTGATTTTTTTTTCCATATTTGCTTTTCTGTATTTTTAATTTTTTCTGCAGTGAACATTTTAGTAATTTTGTAGTCAAAACAAGGTGGGGGGGGTACCCAGGTTATTTATTAGAATCCTAGGTGCCAGTATTCTGAGGTGGGGAGGGAAAAGGAAAAGGCATGCTATTCTACTGGGGAAAACCCACAAGGCAAGTATTTTGCAGTTACCTTGGCTGTGACCTTCCTTACCTTGTTCTCCATATTCTGTTTTATAACTTCCTGTACGAGTACATCAGCCAGCGTCTTGAAGTCAACTGCAAACTTCTTGTTCTTTTCTCCCTCTTTCTTTTCTTCGATCAACAGCTGGAAGAGGGCTTCCTGCTGCCTGCATGCCCGGGCAATGTTGGCAGCTTTCTCAGACACACGGAGCAGCTCCTGGAGGATAGCTGACATTTCTGAACCTTCCAGTTGCAGCTGCTGGTGGAATTGGCACCCACCCTCTGGGCCGTCAGCTGGAAAAGTACAAGAATGTGAAAGAGAAAGCGGTTCGGAGAATGATGTCAGGGTGCATCTGGCACTATTAGACAACCCATCCGGAGGTCAACCTGGTCAGCAGGGCTGAACAGCCCGTGCATGTCGGAGTCACATCCTCAGTGGGGAAGACCAGGTAACACCTAAAATTTGAAACTTATTTTTTAAATGCTTCAAAAAAATACATTTAGTCTCAAAAGCCCATTATGCAAAGAACTGAAATCTCAGTGAAAGAAAGTCGTTGAGAATCTACGTCAGAAATCCCTAGGGGCGCCTGGGTGGCTCAGATGGTTAAGCGTCTGCCTTCGGCTCAGGTCATGATCCCAGGGTCCTGGGATCGAGTCCCGCATCGGGCTCCCTGCTCCTTGGGAGCCTGCTTCTCCCTCTGCCTCTCTCTCTCTTTCTCTCTCTCTCTGTCTCTCATGAATAAATAAATAAAATCTTTAAAAAAAAGAAAAAAAGAAATCCCTAGAATGACAGGCAGGTGGATACAAGCACAATATTAAAAGGAAAGCCCAAGTCTTGGAATGACCTTAGAATGATCACACAGGCTTAGTGGCACCTGAAGGAGCGCTTTCGTTCACCATATTGGGGAAGAAGAGAGAAGTGCAAGAGGATTTATCCTATCAGTTTGGGGCCAACTGTCTAAAGTACTAGGCACCATACCAGCAAGTACTGCTGTGTCCTGTAAGACTCTGAGGCCACTCTTGGGCTAGCAGCCAACCTATCTCCCAGCCACCTTTTTTTTCTAATGGGGAAAAAAAAAAGTCCCACTCTCTGCGCTGCTGCAAAAGTTTCAAGAATAAAACATGCAGCTCGTTGGGACTTTAAAAGTTCTGGCTTCTAAGAGGTATGCTGTCATACCTTGACGGAGCTATTGGGTAATTAGGAGAGAGACGTTTCTCATTTTTCGGTAGTAGCTACATTTGACTGAAAGTTTCAACAGGCTTAACATACAATGTCATTGTGAGAATTACTGTGAGGGCTGTCAGCCTTGTTTTACAGTCAAGGAAACCAAAGGCTGGGGAGATTGGGTAACTTCTTCAGGGTTACACAAGACTAAACGGCAGGGCTCTGAGTCAGTCCTACACACAAGCCCAGGCTCTCTATTCTCATAATCAACACTCTCCTTTAAAAAAAAAAAAAAAAAAATTCCCTTAATGGACGCTAGGAGGCTGAGAATTCATACAACAAAGATGCCAGTGCAATGGAGTTAACTGTGATGGTCATAGTTGCTTTGTCTTAAGTTTGCCCCCAAAATGCTATTTTCTTAAGATTACAGGTCAACCACCATGAGAAAATATATCCAACCTCAACGGTAAGAAAAGGAAAGTGAATAAAAACGAGACATCCCCCTTTACTATTAGGTAGACAAGGCTGTCGTAAGTTAGCGTTCATTCTTGCACCTGTCAGCAAAGTGGGTGCTGATACTCTGCTCTTAGGCATGAAACAAGTGGGCTTCTATAGGGTGTCTGAGGAAAAAAATGTATCAAGATCCCTAGAAATGTCACTACCTTTAACCAGTAGTTCCATTTTGCCTTGATTTGTGTTTAAAAAAAAAAGTCAGAGTTGGGTTAAAATATTTCTTCAAAAGAAGGATTAATATTATTTACAGTAGCAGAAAGAAATAATGGCACCTGTCTGCTATAAATGAGAAGTTAAAAACATAAATTATAAGTAATACACATAAAATGTATACACACACGGATACATACATATCTTGGAATACATACGCCCCAAGAGTATAAATTCAGTAACTTAGATAATTTTGGTTTCTTAGTAAATGTTCTAAGTGATTATAAGTGAAGAGAAAATAATCTGGTGAACCAATAGTATCCAAATAGCTTATCTGAAAAGCAGCATGAAGATTTCAAGGGGTCTAATTTGAAAGCTTTCTAGATAAACGATATCAGAATTGTCTATTTTCCTCAACTTTGTTAAACCTCTTTTTTTTTTTTTTTCTTTTTAAGGAAACACTCTACCACTGCACTGTTGCATAACCAAGAAACTTTCCCCATGATGCCCTCAGAACACTCAGGTGAGCTCCTCACAGAGGCTACAAACTCCAGGAACCAACACTCCCCCTTCCCTCACACAGAAAGCTCTAAGTTTCTGCATAGCTGCCCCAGGGATCCCAAGTTTCTCCCCTTTGAACTTCACCTCTATTGCCTCAATAATGACCATCCTCCCACAACTTGGGCACAGCAGCTTGACCAGTAGGAAAGAAGTATCAGCTACAAACTTCAGTCCTGCAGCTAGCAGGTGTACAGATTTTAGGAACTCATCATAACACAATAATCAGGTTTTTCAGTTCCAAAGTTATCCTAGAGTCCAACCTTAATCACTCTTTATTCTGACCCTGGGAAGCACTATCATATTTTGTCAAGCTCCAAGTTGAATGACCAGTTTCAACTTGGGATTAAGCTTTCTCCAGCCATCCTAGAGGGCCCAGCACTATTTGCCTTTCTTCAGGGTCCTGGCTCCCTAAAAAAGTCTCTCACAGATATCATTATCTACATGCAGAACTTTCTGATTAATTCGTACAGCTAACCTGCTACTTTCTGGCTGAATGAACCATTTCCTCCAGATGAACCTAACCACCATTCTCCCTGCTTCCCCCTAATAAGCTGCTTTCATATATCTCTCCCCATCTGTCCTCAACGCAGTTCATTAAAACCATAACCCTGAGGGGAGCGCTGGGCAATTCATCTTCACCTGGAATGATTCAAATGGAATAACAAATTATCTGTGGAGAAACTGAGGTCTGCATTCGATGCTAAATTTCTTCAGGTTTATCCATAACTCTTAGTAACACTTGCAGAAACTATTTTTCAGATGATTTTTTTAAAAAGATTTATTTATTTTAGAGAAAAAGAGGGAGAGTGTGCCCAGAGGTGGAGAGGGAGAGAGAGAATCTCAAGGAGACTCCATGCTGAGTGCAGAGCCCAATGCAGGGCTTGATCTCAGGACCCTGAGATCATGACCCTGAGATCACAACCTGACCCAAAATCAAGAGCCGGACGCTTAACTGACTGAGCCACCCAGGCGCCCAACTTTCAGATGATTTTTTAAAAGCAAGTTTACATATTCATTTTTTACCTAAGTTAGTTTTATTTAAACATTTCAAATATTTTAAATGAACTGTATTATAGACTCGTGATTAGTAAGTTATGACATTTATAATAATTTAATAGCTTAGAATACAGAAGAAGTTGTTTTTGATTAGTATTTCTTAATAATGGATCTGAGAACCACTTGTATCAGAATTAACCAAGGTGCCCACTAAAGAGACAGATTCCTGGGCTTTGTCCCAGCTTGGTGAATCAGAATCTCTGGAGACAGGGCCCAGGAATCTGCATTTTTGTCAGCCTCCTAGATGATGCTAAACACTGAGATTTAATAGCTGCTGTTCTTCAGGCCCGCTTATTCTTCTTCGACACCATGCTGGCAAGTCCACAGGGGCTGGCGCCTGCTGGCAAATACCTTGGTGGAACCGTGGAGGCCCAATGGTTCTGCTATGTGTTATCCATGTGCAGAAAGAGGCCCCAGTTAAAATAATAGCTAATGTGTTCAGTGCTTACTGTATGCCAGGGATCCTTCTAAGCACTTTATATATATTATTCATTTACTTCTCACACAACCTTATGAGGAAGGTACTATTATCTCTATTTTACAGATGAAGAAACCAAGGCATGGGACATTTAAGTAGTTTGCCCAAAATCACACAGCTAGGAAGTGGCTGGGACAAGATTCAAGTCCCAGGAAACTGGCAGATGCCCTCACTCTAGCCAATAAAATTCTTCCATAAATTCTTAGCTGTTAACTCAGGGGAGGAGTAATTATTGGGTAAATAATCATAAGCATATTATTATTATAAGGTACACTATGTGGCAAAAAAGTACACACCTAGCTGATAGCAGTCACTAGTTTAACTATTAAAATCACTATCTGAGGGACGCCTGGGTGGCTCAGTCGGTTAAGCGTTTACACCTTTGGCTCAGGTCATGATCCCAGGGTCCTGGGATCGAGTCCCGCATCGGGCTCCCTGCTTGGCAGGAAGCCTGCTTCTCCCTCTCCTCTGCCTGCAGCTCCCCCTGCTTGTGCTTGCTCTCTCTCTCTTCTCTCTCTCTGACAAAGTCTTAAAAAAAAAATAAAAAAAAATCACTTTCTGACATTTGACTTCCTTTCTACTCTTAGAAAATCCTTTTTCCCAGCTGATCCTCAGTGTAAACCATCTTTGCTGGATGATAAAATCTCATCCATCATATTCTACTGATGTCTCTCTTAACTGGCTGCCTTGGCATCAGGGGGAGGGGCTTAGCTCATGCCAAATATCTAATTCCTCTTGTATTAGTTTGCTAGGGCTGCCATAACAAAATACCACAGACTGGGTGGTTTAAACAACAGAAATTATTTTTCTCACAGTTCTGAAGTTCCTAGAGCAAGGTGTCAGCAGGTTTGGTTTCTCCAGAAGCCTCTCTCCATGACGTGCAGATGGCCACCTCCTTGCTGTGTCCTCATATAGCCTTTCCTCTGTGCATGAGCATCCCTGGCGTCTCCCTCTCTTTTTTATAAAGACACAGATTGGATTAGGGCTCACCTATATGACCTTACTAAACTTAATCACCTTTTGAAGGCCCTGTCTCCAAATACAGTGACATTATGAGGTACTAGGGGTTAGGGCTTCAACATACAAATTTGGGGGGGCTACAACTTATCCCCTAACACCTCTTCTGAAAGAGAGACCTTGATAATCTTAGCAAATGTCAACAAAATCTATCCCTTTGTCTTTTGTTTTCTGGCCAAACAGAAATGGAGTAGGGTTGTCTTCATTTATATGGTCAATAAATTTAATTCTGTGAGTCAGTCTTTTCTACTAGGAGCCATTCATTTTAATAGCCAAATCATTAATGATGTAGTGAACCCTGATAACCTCTCATAAGCCTTACTTTGTGACAACCTATTTCAAGGCATATTTGATCAGAACAGGTTTATTTTATCTCTCTCTTTTTTTTATTATGTTAATCACCATACATTACATCATTAGTTTTTGATGTAGTGTTCCATGATTCATTGTTTGCGTATAACACCCAGTGCTCCATGCAGAATGTGCCCTCCTTAACACCCATCACCAGGCTACCCATCCCCCCACCCCCTCCCCTCTAGAACCCTCAGTTTGTTTCTCAGAGTCCATAGTCTCTCATGGTTCGTCTCCCCCTCCAATTTCCCCCCCTTCATTTTTCCCTTCCTGCTATCTTTTTTTTTCTTAACATATAATGTATTATTTGTTTCAGAGGTACAGGTCTGTGATTCAGCAGTTTTTTACACAATTCACAGCGCTCACCATAGCACATACCCACCCCAGTGTTTATTTTAAAGATTTTATTTATTTTTCAGAGAAAGAGAGAGAGCACACAAGCAGTGGGAGTGGCAGGCAGAGGGAGAAGCAGACTCCCTGCTGAGCAAGGAGCCCAGTGTGGGACTCGATCCATGACCTGAGCTGAAGGCAGATGCTTAACCAACTGAGCCACCCAGGTATCCCTGATCAGGTTTAAAGAAGTTACATTCCTCACCATCTCAGACCAAATGTATATTAACATCAGTGTATCACAATTTCAGATAGAAATAGTCTCTTTAGCGTTTGTGGGGTTTTTCATCTCCAGTTGGAGAAATGTTGAATAAATTGAAGTTGGCAAAAAATGCTCTTAAGACTTTTCCTGGAAGCCTAAATCTCTCTACACAGACAAAACTCAATTTTAATTCCTAACCATTCTGTCATTTCATCAAAACACCAGTGTTTTAAAAATCACATTTGAGGGGCGCCTGAGTGGTTCAGTCAGTTAAGCATCTGCCTTCGGCTCAGGTCATGATCTCAGGGTCCTGGGACGGAGCCCCACATCGGGCTCCTTGCTCAGCAGGAAGTCTGCTTCTCCTTCCTCCCTCTCCCTCTCCCCCCAGCTTGTGCTCTCTCTCAAATAAATAAATAAAATCTAAAAAACAAATCACATTTGAATAATATGCACATATTTCAGATGTGATAAATAGTATAGTGGGAAAGACATTGGCTTTTGGAGACAAACCTGGGCTCAGAGCCTTGCTTGGCCATTAACTAGCTGTGTGGCATCGGGTAATTTCCTTACCCTATCTGAGCCTCTCTCCTCATTTGCAATATGAGTATAATACTTAAATTGCCAGAACATTGTGAAGATCAAGTGAGATATTTCTGGAAAAGTACCCAGCCCACAGCATTGCATATAGTGGATCACAAATGACAGCTGTGGCTTTTAAACACAACCTGGCTTTTAAACCCAGGAACCACAGTCACGTGTCCTTACTTGAGAAAATAAGAGGCTGGCAACTTTATGTGGGTCACCAAAATCTTTTCTGAAAATTTACTAGTCCATTAAACCCCAAAGGCTGGGAACTACTTGTAATTCTCTGAGTGACTCAGAATAAGGTTCCTGTATGTGGGCCAGATCTGGTTGCTTCGGTTTCTGGGCGTCTGACTGGAAAGTTGGCTCCTGGAGGCTGCATGACTGCTCTGGCGTCATGGTAGACAGTCTACGGGTGGCTTGGCAGGATCATCATAATGTCAGGGGGGCACATTTTGTCAGGATATTTTGTGGGCATTTGAGGGCCAAGTGTGTCCATTCTTTTGCAAAGAGCCTGGCTGTACCAGAAGCTGGCCATGCCGTTTTGCTGTTCACAGTGACAGAAGTGTGACCACATGGATAAAGGCCCTCAAGAAAACAGAACTGCTCTCTCATGAATAAGCAAGTAGGTCAGAGCATTTCCGTGGACATTCATTTCTTCCTGCAGATAATCCACACCTTGTACAGAGCCTACATCTTTGCCCAGTATCCAGTGACTCCACCCCACCCCCACCATTCATATCCTGAATTCCATTTTTCACTGGTCCTCTGAAGGTGGACGGTTTGAAGCTATTGTGTGGGAGCCCTGCCTGACAGGTATTGCCGTTGGGGGGCGGGGGGAGGCCAGACTTCCAGGAGATTCCCGGGTGTTTACAAGAAGGTGTTTGTGGTGGCCTCTCTCAGGGGGGTGCAGATGTCCAGGAGTCTCCCTAGGTGGGCACGTGCCGAGCGGCTGGCCAAGGTTCCATTTAGCGCACATTGCTGTTGTAGGGGAAACAGACTTCGCCCCCCTCCAGTTCCTGCTCCATACTCAGCACTGCTTTAGGTACTAGTGTAAAGAGTGGCAGCTGCCCTGGCTGAAAGGAAAGGGGACAGAAGGGGGCTCACACAAACTATGTCGGGGGTCTCCATCGGCTCTGCTGGAGCAACCAGAGAGGGCTAACATGCAACTTGCTAAAAATAGCCTCTCCTGAGACCACTGTGGATCTTTCATCTGCCCATCTGGTTACCTAGGCCGGAAGGAACCTGTATCATAAGCATTACTAGGTATTTAAATTCCACCTTTAAGCTCTCTGGAAACTAAATTATCTTTCCAGTGGATAAGCCATGTTCAACCTTCAGGTATTCGACTGTCAAACATTTCTCAGAATCCATTAAGTAGTACAGAATGGGACCATCTGTACTCTTTTGGTGTTATTTTACTTTGATACATATGATATTGCTGTCATCGATTCGTAGGTTCTAAGTTGAGCATTTACTAATTGATTTCCCACTATCTGTCCATTTACTCCTTTGCTCTGGACAGATTCTTAATTTGTAAATGCTATTCCCTCTGGGTGAGGATGCCCGTCCACCTGCCTTCTATGCCTGATGTTTAACTTGCCTTCTCATAATGAGTTCATGGGCAAGAAACTTGAACAGATAACTTTATAAAAGAGGATATTCGGATGGCCAACAAACATATGAAAAGATACTCTACCTCGTCAGTAATAGGGAAAATGCAACTTAAAATCACAACAGGATACCACTGCATATCCAGCTCAAATGTGAAGACTAAAAATCTCACATTTTGGTGAGGATGTGGAGCAATGAGACTCCTACACTGTGGTGTGAATGAAATTGGTAAAGCCAATGTTGGAAATTATTTGGAAGTTGTTGAATATAAGCATAACCATTTTCCTTGTAGACATATACTCAACCGAAATTCATGCGTGTATATATTAAAAGACACGCACAAGGGGCGCCTGGGTGGCTCAGTTGGTTAAGCGACTGCCTTCGGCTCAGGTCATGATCCTGGAGTCCCGGGATTGAGTCCCGCATCGGGCTCCCTGCTCAGCAGGGAGTCTGCTTCTCCCTCTGACCCTCCTCCCTCTCATGCTCTCTGTCTCTCATTCTCTCTCTCTCAAATAAATAAATAAAATCTTAAAAAAAAAAAAAAAGACACGCACAAGAATATTTATGAGTAGCATAATTTGTAATGACCTAACACTAGAAATAATGCAATCATCAATAAGAAGATGGAATAACCTGTGGCACATTCACATAAGATAATGCTATACAGCAGTGAGAATGAATGAATGAATTACTGCTACAGGCAACAATGTAGATGCATCTCACAGAAACAAACAGTTGCGTGAAAGAAGTCAGCCACAAAATAAATACATACTGTGCAACTGAATTTATTTGAAGTTTGAAAATAGGCAAAACTAACTTATGATGTTAGAAGTCACAATGGTGGTTCCCCTTAGAGAAGAAGGAGGAATTATTGATGGGGGGATAGGAAGGGGCTTTTAGGCACTGGTAATTCTGGATCTGAGTGATAGTTGCCTGAGTAGGCTGACTTTGTGTAAATTCATCAAGCTGTGCACTTAGAACCTGCATACTTTTCTGTATTTCTAATTTGATAAGAAGTATTTTTAAAAGTATGTGTGTGTGGAGAGAGACAGAGACAGACAGACGACAGTCCGTTCAACAGTCAGCTCCTCTGGGAACCGTTCCCGACTTTCCTTCATCTTGTGCACCTGGGCCATGGGAGCAGAGAGGCAGGCCAGATCTCTGTCCCAAGTCGCCAACACTTGTACATTGGTTTGCTTCTCTGTGCTCTGTCTGGCAGGAGATTTAAAGGTGTGTGTGGTTTTTTAAAACTCTTAGTGTGTGGTTCCTTAAAACTCTTAGCATATACTTGAGAGGTGTTCAATAAATGTTGGCTGATGAACTTCCTCTTAGCTTTGTAAACGCAGAATTCATCCTTGTAATATTGTTTATTGTACTTGGATTTTACTAGCATTACCCAGGGCCATTAGGCATGTGGGCCCATATTTATTTATATAAAAGTCTACATGTATTCTGTATTCATTTACAAAAATGAGCCAAAGCTGTATCTGGATGACTAACAACTGAATCACATTTTGTGCCACGTCAGAATCTGAGGTTATGCTTTGTCATCTAGAGGCGACCTATCTTGATAAGATTAATTTAGTTGATTAAAAGACCAAAATAGTAAGTTTAATTTGGTTTTGTTAGAAAAGATGTTAAGTATGGGATATGGAAATCCATCTGTGTAACCTTCACATTTCTCCCTCCCTCCATCCTAACCTTCAGCTGGTGTTGACATACATGCTACCTCTAAGCCGATCAGTCGACCTCACCGTAGCTGTCAAGGCTGCTGCTGGACCACAGTAGTCCATGTTTTTGCTCACTGATGCTGCTTAAAGCAACAGATCACAAAAATGTCCTCTGTCTCCAATGTTCTGGTAGCTTATAAGTGGGATCTCGTGCTGAAGCAGTGTTTTCCAAATTAGGAAGATCAAGAAGTAACTGGGACACTTGTTAAGGATACAGATATTTAGACTTTTCCCCTGGATATATTGATTCAGGAGATCTAGACTGAGGACAGAAAACATCACTCAGCTGATTTTTATCTGACAATTTAGGGAAACAGGAGGTGCACCAGTCAGCTCTGTGTCTCATTGGTTACTTAGAAGCAGAACAGGGAATCCTATAGCTACTGCAATCAAGAATGATGGGCCTTGGTCCGCTAAAGGGTCAACTTAACATTGCCTTCTTTGTAACAAAAATTAAATGCTGGGAAAAAAAAACCCCATGCAAGTTGATCTACCTAATTAGTATTCCACATTAGCATGATACTTGCATAAAGGATCCATTCAAAGATTCTCCAGAATTCATTTGAAAACTATGAAAAAGTATTCCATTCAGAAATACTTTTAAATTTGATAGTGACCCTTTTTTAGCCTTTTCTCCATAGTTAGGAATATTTTCACTAAATAGAAACTTCATTCACTTGGATAGTTTTCTTTCTGCTGCATTTCAATTATATGTTTAAGCTTTTATATATATGGTCAAGGATGTGTTTAGAACAAACGTGGTGTCACAAATGTAGCCTGAAATCCCACAGAAAATGAAAAATAGAAGCAGATTCAGTGTAACTATCTTAACTGTAGGAAAGAATACATATTTTTAAGAATACAAATGTAATATATAATTAAGGCAGAAAGAAAAGACACGAGATGTATGGCTTGTATAAAGAATCTTTTCCAGTAGTATATAATTTATAGTTGTGATAATTGTTTATCAGAATCTAGGCTTACTACTCTTCAAATCTGTTTCAATGTTTCCTTTCAAAGGTAACATTTTTCAATCATTTTACCTTTTTTTCTGAACATCTGCAACACTTACTTTTGACACCAACCCATTTAACACTTGCCTTTTATTGTCTGCCTGGGCTTCCTGGTAGAAAGAGCTTGTTTAGGCCATAAGAGAGCTGGTTCTTGAGCTCTGCTTTGCCTTGAACCAACTAGGTTTTCCAAGTCCCCCAACAAGGGACTTGTGTTCCTTATTTTTGTAAACATAAAAAAGGAAGGAAAGGAGGGACATAGAGCTTGAAGGAGATGATTTTTATGGTCTGTTCTAGTTCAAAACGTCCCTGTTTTTTATATTTATTTTCCAAATAAAAGAGGTTGGGGAATATTATCCAGCCTTAAAAAGGAATGAAATTCTGGTCCATTCTACAATGCAGGTGAACCTTGGAAACATTATGCTAGGTGAAATAAGCCAGACTCAAAAGAACAATTATTGTATGATTCCACTTATGTGAGGTACCCAGAGTAGTCAAATTTGTAGAGACAGAAAGTAGAATGGTGGTTAGTGAGGTTGGAGGGAGAGGAGAGTGGGGAGTTATTGTTTAATGGATCCAGAGTATCAGTTTGAGATGAGGAATAAGTTCTGGAGATGGATAGTGGTGACAGTTGCATAGCAAAGGGAATATACTTAATGCTCGTGAATTATACACTTGAAAATGGTTAAAATAGTAAATTTTATGTTATCTGTATTTTACTACAATTTTTAAAGAGTAAAAAAATAAAATTATAGGTTTGAAAAATGCACATTTTATCTTTTAAAATTTTATTTCAGAGAGCGTGCATGTGCGTGCAAGAGAAAGCAGAGAGAGCATGAGCTGGGGTGGAGGAAGGGCAGAGGGAGGGGGAGAAGCGGATTCCCCACTGAGCAGGGAGGCTGAAGCAGGGCTTGAATCCAGGACCCTGGGATCATGACCTGAGCTGAAGGCAGACGCTTAACCGATTGAGCCACCCAGGTGTCCCAAAATGCACATTTTAAAAACTGTTGATATTTATCATCTACTTAATGAGGGCATAATAAATATTTGTTGATTGAATGGAAAAAATGAGGTTGGGGGAAGGGCATGAAAAAGTAGGTTGAAAGAAGGGCACAAGCTATTTGTCTTGAAGTTGATTTTTTACAGGGATCACACTGGGTTTTAATACTTAGATTGTATGTTCATATGCAGTGGTTTGGGTGTGGGGGGAGGGGCTAATGAACATTATGAGAGCCTAAGGCCCCCATCCAAGCCAGCCCTTGGCCATCATTATTCTCTAACAGACTATAAATTCCTTGAGAGCAGGATACACATTTTTTTTCCATCTTCTCATGACACACAGTGGGAGTTCTGTTGGTTAATTGATATTCATTCCATTGGAGATAAACATGTTTAAAAGGATTTTCTTCCACCCAAATTCATCTGTAAGGGATTACTCATTACACAAGTTTTCAGATTATAACTGTTAGAAAATGTGATTCAGAGGAGTTCTTTACAGATTTTTTGGAAGATGGCTATTATTTTTTTTTTTACTGTAACGATAAAATAACACGACCAAAATACATTTTCTGAATATTATAGTAGGAAAGCAAAGGTCATAGATCACATTATGTATCATTTTTTTGCAGACTGGGTTTAGCAGGATACCTCCTGTCATTCTACTTCTACTTTGTAGAGGCAAAAGTTGATTTTTAACAGATATTTACTAGTGTTGAATAAATCAATACCCAATATTGAATGTAACATTTACCTTTAAAGGAGCACAAACTAATAAAATAATATAGTCCTTTTACTTGAAAAGTTCAAAATAGTAAAAAGACATAATGTTTTGTTAAAGCCAATATGTAAATCTAATAAATTCTCTTGAATTCTTGCTAATCCTGCACCATGGATAAGTGTCTAAACTGGGTAATATTTACCTTCTCGATCTGATTTTTTATTTCTATCTCCCCCATTCTTTGCTATTAATGATGCTTACCATCAGCCAATTTTTTTTTAAAGATTTTATTTATTCCTTTGAGAGAGAGAGAGCACAAGCAGGAGGAGAGGCAGAGGGAGAGGGAGAAGCAGGCTTCCTACTGAGCTGGGAGCTAGCTATGGGACTTGATCCCAGGACCTGGAGATCATGACCTGAGCCAAAGGCAGAGGCTCAACCATCTGAGCCACCCAGGCACCCCAACCATCAGCCATATTTTTAAAACAGACCTGTTATTCCCAGATCAAATTGGGATTATATGTGATTATATGTGATTCTTACAGACTCCCAGAAAAAAAAATAAGTGCTCTAGAATTTGGAAGATCAGATCCTATTTAAAAAGCAACTGATATTGAAAAATTATGACATCACTGTAACTAAATTAAGTTCTCCTTAAGCAATATTAAAAGACCGGTTTCCTTTGCTCATTTGAATTTAACTCTTTTGTTATTAATTATAACTCTCATTAGCATTTTGGGAAATCTACCATCATCACTCTGTAAAGGACAAGTATCTATTGATATAGTTAGCAAATACTTACATTAACTTAAACTTGGATAATTAAGTTAGGAGATTTTAAATATTTAGCTGATTAAAAATAAAAACAAGCCAGCAAACAACCCTCTTCACCCCTCAAAAGAAGTAAAGAAAAGGAATGGAGAGAGAAGAAAAGGAAAGAAAACTCTGACCTTTTCCATTGTGGTAATTCATCTTAACAAATTCTTTTATAGATGTTTAATATTCTATTTTGCTAATTTGTTCTTATATATAATTGACCATATTTTATGCCCAAGGAAAGCATTTTTTTCCTTTTTTTGGCTGGGGTTAGGTCATTTTAATAAAAGTTATAAATAAGTTATTAAAATTTGCATGCTTGTTTTCTCTAGTTAGGAGAACAAAAGGGGTAGAAAATAAATCTGTGATATGAATGAGAAACGATCAAGCACAGTATTTTGCTGTGGCTTACTAGTCACAGAAATCTGCATTATAGCCCATTAATAAGAGGTTCTTATAACATTAGAGGGCTTGAATTAACATTGCATACCACATAAAAAAGACTAAACATGCAAAAATGTTTGCTAGGTTCAATCACCAGGAGGCTTGACTACAAAAGGATATAAAAGTTTCAGATTTCCTAAATGGGTGACATCATTATGTTAGTAAAACCATAGCTTCCAGATAAGAACATTTTATGTCCAGGAATGAGAAGAGGTTATATCAGCTATTCATTCCAGCAACAGTTATTTCCCATCTGTGCTTCCCAACCTTGCCTTTTTAAAAATTTTTATCATTTTGACCTATTTGAAGTATCATCTCCTAACCATAGAGATTCTGATTCAGGAAGTCCCAGGCTGCAACATGGGAATCTTTTTAAACCACTTTTGTGGCCCCCTCCCCGATGTGTCCACCACCTGAAGTAATTTTTTAAATTAAGCAAATTTGGGAAACACTACTACGCTAATCACAAGAGATGGGAAGCAAAATGCTATCAACTCTGTTTCTAAACTCTAAACCAAACGAAAACATCAATGTACATAGTTTTATTAGCTTCATTACAAGATTCAAAATACTTTAACAAGGATATTTATGAAGGACACACATCCAGAAAAAGTTCTCATATATATCATCCTCACCTTTAATAAATGAAAACACTTGTTTTTATTAATCACTTTATATAACATAATTGTCTTTTACACAATTTATCTACAAGACAAAGTAGAATAAGACATTTCCTAATTGTTATCAGAGACAGAAATCAAAGAAGAAATACATATATAATGAGAAATTCTATAATATTCATTTGACAGTCCTTGTATGTCCAAATAAGACATTTTTTTTTTCCAGGACTACCACAAGTATAGTTATAATTTAAATCTGTAATGAGATATTTCACATCAAATGGCAAGTCCAGGCTGCAATCTCCAAGCACGTGGTGGTTTAGTCCAAAAGCATGAAAAGAAATGGTATCTTATTCTATGCAAAAAGTGTAACTTATGCATCTTATGTAATCCTCTTTATGACCAAGAACTAACTTCAAGAGTAGTAGAAAAATCCACAAAAGCTTAAAAACAAAGTGGCTTCTAAATAAGAATTCAAACAAATAGGTGTTGAAAAATGAACTCTTCCATTGCCTTTATGTTTTTTTCTTTATATTCCCTATTTTTAAAGTTAAAAATGAGGTTACTTAGCTAATTCATCAGTCAATAGTAATTCAGTGGATCATTTTCATCATCAGACTATTACAGGGCTGAGAGGGCTGATCCTTATCAACTTGTTTGGTTTCAAAGTTAGGAATCACAGGAAAAGGGCCCCCCCCAAAATGTTTTATTCAACACGTTGGATCCACTTAAGTGGTCCGCCCATATAGCCTTAAGCCACTGTTCTTTTGAAGTGAATTCGATTCACACAGTGGGCAAACTTATGCTTATTCAACGCCTTAAAATTAGCTTTAGAACTGGGAATCTCCAAAATACACACCTTAGTTGTTTACATGTATTCTTCATGGATGGACTAAATAATTAGGGATTTTTTTTTTTTTTTTTCATGCTCTTTGTGTCTAACAGCGTTCCTGATTCGGCCAAAGCCCTGTTAAAATTTTTCCCACCTACTATCCTGGCCACACCAACTATGAATGCACATCTCACAAAGCCGCCCTTCAAAATGCAGAGACTTAAAAGCAAGGAAGTAAAGACTTTTCTAAATATAGTCCCATCATGTTTATTTTACTCTCATCTAGTAGGTCACTCACTAGCGGCAGCCAGCAGCTACGGACACTCAGAAGCATCTCCCAAAGCAAAACCAAGGGGCGCTTGACAGCTACGCCATCTACCTGTTGAACCTGGGCCACTGCTCTCGACAACTGTCAGCTTCTTCGACCTAGAAATGCTAATAATGATCGATTTTTTTTTTTTTTAACAAAGTTGTTTGCTAACCTTTCTCCCCACCCTCGGTTTCTTTCGGGTCATTTCTGCCGGGCGGGGGAGCCGCGGGATTCGCGAGCTCCTCGGCCCGGCGGGCTGCAGCGGCGATGCGGGGCGGGCCAGGCCGGGTGGCAGCCTGGCCGCCGCGGGCAGAGCTCGTCACAGGCCGGGGCGCAGAAGCACCGAGCCTCCTGGCCCCGATTTTACTCACCTACCTTCCGCAGGGGCGATGAGGCGCGTGCCGGCCGCCCAGCTCGGGGACCCAGGTCCGAGGAGTGGGGAAGCAGCGGCGGGACGCGAGGGGCACGTAAGAAGGAGAACGTATTACCTAAGCCGGGGATGCGGAGCGAAGGAGGCTGCAGCCTTTCCCTCCAGAAACGGAAGAGGCGGGCGAGGAGGAGGAGGAAAAAGCGGCTGCGGCGGGGGTGGCCGGCGCGGAGGGAGCGGAGGGCTGTAGGCGTCTGGCCGCGGGCTTAGCGCGACGGCGAGGGGCCGGGAGCTCGGCGGAGGCCGCCCGAGGCGGAGGCGAAGCCGGCCGTCGTGCTCGCTGCCTGGCTTGGCGGTGGCTCGCAGACCTCAGCATCCGCGGGGCCGCCGCCCGCTCGGCTCCCCGGGGACCGCGGCGTGGCAGCGCGGTGACGCCTCGAGGCTCCCGGGGCGGGCGAGGGCATCCCACGCCCGCCGGGGCCAGGCCTCTGCGACGTCACAAATGGAGCGTGCTGATTCAGGCTGGGGGGCTAGCAAGCAAAGGGCTCCCGGGTCACCTCATCCACTGCTTCTGTTCTTTCCTCGTGGCCGCCCACGAATTCGCTTGTAAAATCTTCCTCCTCCATTTTCCCGTCCACTTCTTTGGAGATGAAGGGGTTGGCAGCTGGGAAGATAAGACTTCCTGCCCGTGGCATTCGGGTCCCATTATTCTACTAGAAATGTCAAGTGTGCGGGTTGTTCAAACCACAGCAGTGTCTCCTGGGCGCTTGCCTTATAAGGTGTGGGCCTAGGGCACCTTGACAGAAGCACATCAAGGGTAGGGAACTTCTCTCTCTTCAGCCCTTTAAACGGTGGCATTCAGTATACCTTAAAAATGGTTCGGAATCGGGAGGAGGAGTCCAAGTTTTGAAAAAGCAACATAAGATTTTGAGTAGAAGGGGCCTGTCAGCTAGCTGGCCCAGCAAGTTGAATGTTGTTTGTGGGTGCATTGGGCTTTCTGCACATCCTTTCCCTTCCTGGCACGCCTAGGAAGTGATCAAGTCTGCAAGGCCCCAAATAGGGTAAACGAAAGAGGCTGCTGCTGCGGGAGTGACTGGAGGGCCAGGGAGACCAGTATCCATATACCTGGAACTCATTCCATGGCAAGAAATTGGGGAAATGTTGTAAAGTTCCAGCTGGCAGGTTTTCTTATCTGTATTTTCCCCAACTGCCCAAGACTCCCTTGAGTTACCAAACACTTGGCTGTTGAGGAACAGTGAGGAACTACCAAGACGGGAGACTGGGGCAATACCCGACTTGTCAGACTCCAGGAAATGGTGCTTGAAACTTCACATCGCCCAGACTGAATTCATCTTTCTGCTCCCATCCTGCTTCTGTGGTCTCTAGCTTGGGAGAACTCAAGTTCTTTTGCCTGGAGGATTCTCTAGCTGCTATAATAATAGCTAGCGGCACCATGCTAGACGCTTTTTGTGTTTTATAGCTGTTCATTCTTAGGTGAATCCCGTGGTAGGAATTACTGTTATCTCCACTTAATAAAGAATAGAACTGACTTTGAGAAGTTAGATAATTTATTTAAACATGTATATGTTGTGAGGCCAAGTTTGAACCCAGCAATATGACTCCAGGATTCACATTATATGACTTATTCATGCTTTAAAAACCTTTCTCCGACACTAAATTTGAGAAGGATTAAAAGATATAAATTTTTTAGAAGTTTTCAAAGTTTGGGGCGCCTGGGTGGCTCAGTCGGTTAAGCGTCGGTCTGCCTTTGCCTCAGGTCATGATCCCAGGTTCCTGGGATGGAGCCCCACCAGGGGCTCCCTGCTCAGCAGGAGAGTCTGCGTCTCTCTCTGCCCCTCCCCCTGCTCTTGCACATTTTCTCTCTTTCTCTCTCAAACAAATAAATAAAATCTTAAAAAAAAAAAGAAGTCTTAAAAGTTCAAGGAAAAAATATAACTGAATTGCTTTTAATCTGAAAGTAAGCTTGGAACAAAGGGCAGAATTGCAAAGGAAAAATGACAGACTTGACTATAGAATTTTTAATTTCTTTCATAAAAAAACCCCCATTAAATTAAAAGACAAGTAAAAACTACCAAAAATTTGCAATATATTTGAGATAAGAGAGTAACATTTTTTTAAATAGAGGTCTGACAAAGTATAAATATCCTGTTAAAAAATGGACAAAAATGTAAATTAGCGAAGTCATGAAAGAAAAGTGTAAATGGCCAAACACATTTTTAAGGGAGGCCAAAACTTAAGACGCTAATGCACCATGAAGTTGACTGAGAATAAAAGCTAGTGATTTAGGCCAGGGACCCTTGAGGCAGGATGCGTGGCAAATGACCAAACTCAGTACTGAGAAGGACATAAATTACTTCAGTGTTTCTGGAGGGCAATTTGGCCAAATGCAGTAAAAGCTTCAAAAATGTTCACACCCTTTGACTCAAAAACTGCATTTCTGGGAATTCATAATACAGGAATTGACAACTATTTTCTGTAAAAGCCCAGATAGTAAATACTTTAGGCTTTGCAAGCCACATATGTCTCTGTTGTTTTTCTTCTTTGTGTATGTGCTTTTGTTTTTAAAACCTTTTAAAAATAGGAGAGCTATTAGCTTGAGGGCTGTAGAAAAACAGGCTGTGGCCTGAAATTGGTGTGAGGGCAGTGATGTGTGCAAAGAGTAGACTACAAGAAAGTTCATCACAGTGTATTTGGTAATAGCCAAAAGAGAAAGCACACTTAATGTCTGAGGATAGAAATTAGTTACAGGGGTGCCTAGGTGGCTCAGTCGTTAAGCGTCTGCCTTCGGCTCAGGTCACGATCCCAGGGTCCTGGGATTGAACCCCGCATGGGTCTCCCTGCTCTGTGGGAAGCCTGCTTCTCCCTCTCCCACTCCCCCTGCTTGTGTTTCCTCTCTCGCTGTGTCTCTCTCTGTCAAATAAATAAATAAATAAAATCTTTAAAAACAAAACAACACAAAAAAGTTGCCAAATGATATTTATTGCATGAGATAGTATTCATGACTTATTACATGGAAAAATATAGTTAAGAAAACCATATCTATGTTACATCCCAAATACAACATAATCCTGTGTATGTATGCAGAGAAAAAGATATGGAAAGATGTAAACACACTAAGATGTTGATAGTGGTCTTGGGTAGGGGTGAGATTGTAGATATTTGGTTTTCTCTTACGTGTGTTCTTCCTATAATGGATATGTATTCTTTTGTAATAAGCAAAAATATAAGAAAATTCACTTAGGCAACAACAACAACAACTTAGGTTGTCAATTTGAGAAGATCTGCCCTGAATTCACTCTCCCAGATGGAGCTGTTTGCTGTCTCTTCTGTGCTCCTCAAATGCATAATGGTTTTTTGAGTACCATTATTTACTTAATTAGAGAATGGTTAATACCATCATTTTGTTAAGCATTGCTCTTTTATTGGGTTCCTGATATTTCACTATTGTAAGTATGCTGGTTATTTTCAGCTAGCTCTCCGCCAGATCCATTTTCCATCCTTCTCTGCTAGATTCTTGTCTTTCTGAAGGCAGAACTTTCATTAGCTATTTTCTCTGGGCTCTCTGGCCAGCTGGCTTCCAGGTAAGGTTGACCAATGGGCAATACCGACAATAGGTTGGAGGGTGGAAAAGGAGAAAAGTTGGGGTATTTTTTCCTACCTCTTTTCCCAGTTTGGACCTCTAAGTCAAGGTGGTTCTCCCTTCACTGCTCTGCTGATTTGATCTCCTCCCCTTATCCCTTCAGTCCTAACGATGGTCACAGCCTCTTAGGTTGCAAGAGCCTGGGTACCTTCACGTCTCTTATCATCTCCATGTCATGTTATATCCCTTCACCCTACTGTAAACCTAATCCAGAACTTCTGTAAATAGTCCCTTCAATGAAATCTCTTCTGCTGAGACATCTGAGTAGAGGTTGGTTCTTGTTAGGACAGACTGATCATATTAAAGAACACTGGTGAACCTCATAGAACACGAATCTTTTATTTCTTAAATTACAGGCCTGGATATGCTCAGATTTTATATCTGAGATTTGGACTATTTGCAAGGTAATTATAGAAAGATTTACAAGTTTCCTAAAGCAGGAATTTAAAATTACTGTGAGGCCAGTGTTGGGGAATGTAACGCTTTGACTATTGTTCCCACTTCTCTAGTAGTTTCTGAGAAGTAACAGTCCATTGCTTTTTATTGAAATCAAATAGTACAATATAGTGGTGTTCAAACTTTTATGTTTTCAGTGGAATATTTTTTAAATGTTTCGTGTTTTAAAAGATTTTATTTATTTATTTGATAGAGAGAGACATAGCACGAGAGGGAACACAAGCAGGGAGAGTGGGAGAAAGAGAAGCAGGCTTCCCGCTGAGCCGGGAGCCCTATGTGGGACTTGATCCCAGGATTCTGGGATCATGACCTGAGCCGAAGGCAGATGCTTAACTGACTGAGCCGCCCAGATGCCCCTCAGTGGAATCTTTAAGAAAATATTCTTATATTGCCTCTAACAAATAAATAAAAGTCAGATGCAGAGTTAAAGGAACCTTCCTCATTTTAAGGCATACTCTGGGACCTCCCTGCAGAACCCCAGAGCTCTTTGGAACACGGTTTGGAAACACAGATTTAAAAAGTCCAAGAGTTCTAGAAGATTTATCCTTCCAGTATCTATTGTACTTCTTTAGGTTAGACTCCTAGAATTACATAGTCTATAATATGACTTTATCAATTGCCCTTCAAAACACTCCTCGCTGTGAGTGATGTTGCCTATCTCATTACTGCATCTATTATCAAATACACACAAAAAACCCTTCCTAATTTTTCATCATAGTCTTAATTCCATTTTTATTATTGCTGAGAGAATTTTTCCCATGTCTATTTGCCATTCGTGTTTCCTTCTCTCTTCTGCCTTCCCCCACTTCTTTAGCCACCTTTGCATGTTTGGCCATCTCTCTATTCATTCAATATGGATTAATTCCTTGTAATGTATCTGGGCACAATGCTAACGGGTATAAGCAGTAAACAGTATAGTTATGCTTCTGCACTCCGGGAGCTCAAAACTAGCAATATTTTAGTCTTAGTATTTATCTTGTTCAAGTCCATTGGCAATATGTTAAGAATGGCAACCCTTTGGGGCGTGGCTCAGTCATTGGGCATCTGCCTTTAGCTCAGGTCATGATCCCAGGGTCCTGGTCAGTGGGGAGCCTGCTTCTCCCTCTCCCACTCCCCCTGCTTGTATTTCCCTCTCTCGCTGTCTCTCTCTCTGTCAAATAAATAAATAAAATCTTAAAAAAAAAATGGCAACCCTTTGTCACATTTGTTATGAATAATTTTCGTAGTTCACCTTTTCATTGTATTGTAGGGTTTTTATTATTTACAAAATCAAAATTTTTTATGGAGTTGTCTCTGTATCTTTGTTTCTATGCCTAGAAAATCCTTTTTAAAAGATCGGACCAATATTCACTTATATTTCTTCTAATACCTTTTACTATTTGATTTTTAGGATTTAAGT